AACAGGATAATGGACAGAAGGATTAAAACACCTCCTCTCTCTCTCACACACAGTACTTCTTGGTAAATCTTCAAAGCAACCTCATGCAACAAGCGAAATCTTTTTTAAAAGCAGGAAATCTTAAACATAGATCTCTTGCAAATAATTTAATTAATCCCACAAGGAATGCTTAACAACCTCAGAAGTATTTTTTTTTTCAGATTGGCAGTGACCTGGTGTCTGTGTACCGTGTTGCTACATGAACGATCCCCCCCTGAATGGATTATCTTTCTGTTACAACCAAACGCTCCCGGCAGCATCCTAGAAACAAGCCTTCTGGCACAAGTTTATCCTTGTGACCTCATTGCCTAAGATGCAACAACAGGACAATTCCAAGTAGCCTCCACTTGGTGGCGGTATTGTATGAGCCTTGAGAGCCTGTTTAGATTTTAATATTTTTTAACCACAAATAATACATAAGTAATGTGACTTTTTATTACTAATTTATCCAGTGAATTAGTTTTCTGAAAAGCCACCAGAGTGTCTGAATTAGCTGTTGTTAATCTTCTGAATGCAGGGAGAGATAAAACGTTTCTATCCCAGTTGAGATAATTCAGGAAATTGTTGGATGAGGCAGTCTGCAGTCTAGAGGCTCCAACACTTGCATGATGTGACCCCACGTCTATTTCCTCTGATTTGGTGAGCCTGTGTGGTAGTGGTCCACAAAGTGAGGTTGGATTATACAGTTACTGTGTCCTTGCATTTCCTAGTAATTGTTTGAATGAGAGGGTTTTTAAGCGTATTTATAAAATACAACTTAGCATGGAAGCACCTTTGTGCAACAGTTACGTATTCTTTTCCCCCTCATCACTTTTAAGATACAGACTTTCAACATATAGTTTAACTGACTTAAGGGATGGAAGTAAGACAGTGTCCTACGTTTGATTTAGACATATGGAACTCTGCCACCCTGGGCAGACATTCAAAAGAACAGGCATTATATGGATGTGGAGGGGAGCACAACTAAATCCATTAGCACTGGGTCCTGACTTCCACAACTTCAGTGAGCAATATGTGCTTATAAATATACATACATACATTGGCTCTTCCATATGACGGGCAATGCTGCTTTTTGTAGCACAAGAGCCCATCCATTACACTTTGGTACATTCAGCGGTTCCTGCAGACCTTTGGCTAATGAAATGGAAGTTGGAGTGGATGCTTCTTCCATATATGTGCAGGGCTTCTCTGCATCATGTGTCTACAGTGTAATGCTTTGGCATCACGTATGGTAGAATCAGGGTTTTAATTGTTTGTGCTCTCTCTCTTTTTTACATAACCCCAGGGGTCTTAATGTATTTTTTGGGGGGAATGGCATTAATGTACAGAAACACAAGAGGGGTAAGGCTACTGTCTGTTAGGCATGTGTGCCCAGGCACACACACACACACACAGGCAGCCACTCTTACCTTTCAGAACAGACCTGGATGAGGAGTAGAACACTGGCCTAAAGTTCAGCTCCTACCCTTGTGCTAGCAGGTACTGTCAGTATCTTTTGGACAGCAGTACTAACCTCTGCAAGGCTTTGTTCTGAGATTTTTAAGTCAGAAAGACCATGATGGTTGAGGCCTACTATTCATAAGATTTTATCATTGTTCTTAACAATTATACCCCTCATAACATCCCCTAAGGAGGCTACAAATCAACAAACTTTGCTAAAATTGTCAGTAAGGGAGAAGATTGTGAATCCCTTTGAGAACTGCAAGGCAAAATAAATTAAAAACACACATGGAACCATTATTTGCAATGAAAGCAAACTTGATGCGTTGGGCCAAAAGACTCTTAAAAGGTGGCAATGGGGGGCATAGCCTGTAACATTTCTCTTGCTAATACTGGGTCAAGATAAATGCAGACAAGAGTGACTCTCAGGTTTATCTCTGGCATTCTTTTAAAGCAATTGGATACAAGGCACACGTGCCTCCTCACACAACTATCCTATAGCAAGTCTCTCTCAGCACAGAGCCCTTTTGGGTTTAGTTCCCAGCATATATTATTTGTAACAGCAACATTCAGGAAGTTTGAGTGTATGGACAAAAAACCAAAATAATAGCTTTTTCTGTCCAAGGTTTAAACAGAGTGAACACGGAGTACGACTGGTGTGAGGAAGCAGAAGGGAGAGCGAGCGCTGCAGCAGTCTGAACCACCATCCTAGAGCACTCTCGAAGGGAGAGGAGACAGAAGATATGGGGTGATTTCCTAACCATAAAAGGTCACTATCACCTCTGAGGTGGGAGGCAGCATCGCAGGCACACAGGTCTTCTCACACTAAGTAGGACCTTTCCTGGTACTTCCTCTTTTATCAAACAACAAATAAGTTGAACTTGTTGAATTGTTTTAAAAACTGTTAGTTTGCTATGCAAACTTGATTTCATTCCTTCGTCTACTGTAAGCTGCTGTAACTTAAAGGAGTACATTTTAAATAAGCAAACAGCTGGCAGCACACCTTCACAGCACTAAGAGCAGCTTAGTGCACATCCTGCTTTGTCTTACGTATTTAGCACAAAACAATGCTAAGTCCCCTAAGGCTGCAGAGGACTCAAGGGAAAGTCATGCATTCTTCAAAAGAAATAGACACAACAACACTGCCATATAGGCTGACTGCAGGGGAGAGGACCTGAATTCCTGGAATGGCTGCTGCCATTCACAACCACAGTCTGTGCCTTACCTACACTTGTCTAGAGTTGGTCACTGGTTTCCACAGCAGCTCAGCATGAGTCTGTCAGGGCTCCGTTTAGAGAAGGGCCAGGGTCCCTAGCAATTGGATTTTAAAAGGATGCTGGGAGAGGGGAGATGGAAAGTCTTTACCTCCTGTACTTCTTTCCAAAGGTGGGCATTAGGGATGAGGGCTTGAAGGATACCCCGCCTTCCCCTCCCCTAGTAAGTCATATCATAGTATATTCCTTATTGCTTTGTAGAGGTGTGAAGGTTGGACAATGAAGAAAGCTGACAGGAAGAAAGTTGATTCATTTGAAACGTGGTGTGGGAGGAGAGTTTTATGGACAGCATGGATCATCAAAAAGACATATAAGTGGGTTCTCAATTAAATCAAGCCTGAACTGTCCCCTAGTTTACAAAACCTGAGCCAGGTTGTTAACAACAGGATGTTTTTTTTTGGGGGGGGGGGGCGGCACTAAAGAGAAACAACAGCACCTCACACACACACACACACACACACACACACACACACACACACACACACACACACTGCCCTCCCAATATGGGCACTGCTTACAATGCTAAGATAGAAGTGGAGATCTGCACGCTCAGCTGATCCCATAATAGAGCTATCAGGGGTGTCAAACACACGGCCCTTGGGCCAGAACTGGCCTGTCCAGGGCTTTTATCTGGCCCGCAAGCAACTGGTCATTGCTGTTATTGCCAGATGACAGAGACTGTGTATTACGTCCCAGTATACTGTACTGTCCCAGTGCTAATGCATAATGGGTGGCAAAAGTGGAAAGGCGGGCATCAGGAAGATACTATAAAAGGAAATACTGTAAGAATGGTAATGTTTTAAGCATATTTGTATTTCGTGCAAAAAATAATATTGGGTTTGCATGTGTCCTTTAATAAAGTTTATACTGCCGGTATCTGGCATTACATATTATGGCATACATGGCCTGGCCTGACAAAGTGACATTTGTGTCAGAACTGGCCCTCATAACAAATGAATTTGACACCTCTGAATAAAGCCCAAGAACAAAGTCCCCATAATATAACAAAGCTGTCTGCAGAGTACAAGCTACCCTTATGTCAGGCAGAGACAGAAACTGCACTTATCCCTGTTCTAATACCCTAGCTGCAGGAAATCACAAGGTTTAAGCTTCGTGCAGCAGAAAGAAACCAGCAACCTAATACCCAGCCCTGGTCTCTACCCCCTGAGGAAAGAAAAGAGTATTCCTGGTTCTTTGGTTACTTTGTAACACCCCCAACAGTGACCCAGAGAAGCTTCTATCGCTCTCTTCTTTTCCATTTTACCCTCACAACAAGCCCTGTGAGATGGCTTAGGCTGTGTGTATGACTGGCCCAAGGTCACCCAGCAAGCTTCTGTGACAGGACTGCAGATTTGGACCCAGGTCTTCCAGACCCTAGTCCAACACTCCAACTACTGCACCACACCAGCTGTCAGTCTGAGACTTAGCTGAAATGTAGCTGAAAGGGGGTGGATCCTATGACAGCTGAGCCTTTGATTCCCTTGTTAGATCTCATGTCTGAGGCACACAGGACTAACAACAACCCAACAGGTTTGAAACTGGGGAAATTGTCTTTTTTTCCCCTTCAAAAGAGAAACAGAAAAGGAGGATGGCAAGTAGAAAGGGAAAAAAGGCAGCCTCCATACAGTCTATTGTCATTCTGTAGCAAAAGGCAGACTCGGAGCCTGTCTAGCCATGGCTATCTGTTCTCCAGCATGGCTTCTGTCTCCACAGACAGAAAAGAAATGGGGGGAAGTATTCTCATGGAGCCAGTGCACTGTCAATCAACCAAGTCCTGCTGACTGTTCCACTAATGGAAGGCTTCACTCACATGTACTGGATCATGCTCTTCAGAGAGGAAGCATATGTACTATTATTTCTGCTTTACACGTTAAGGGAAGACTTCCAAACTATAAGGGAAGATTTCCAAACTATAAGCAACAAACATGCACATATTTACTGCCCAAACAGTCTAACAGTACAGTTCAGAGTTACTCCAGTCTAAGCCATATGATTTCAATGGACTGGAGTAATTCTGCACAGAAGTGTACTGTAAATGCTATACAGAGCAATTCATTATTTTGTTTAAATTAAGGAGACGGAAAAACTTGCTATCATACTTGTAAGCAGAATGCAACAACAGATGACCATATTATTGTCATTTCAATAGTCTCAACAGAACATTCATTCAAGCAAGTATACTGTGGATAACAGCTGTAGTTTCTAATTCTGAAATACACTTGGAACTTTGAAAGACACCAATCCTTCTCAGGTACAATAATTTTTATTTATTGATTTTTTATTTCTAGGCCACCCTCCCTGCGGTCGGGCTCATCTGATATCTATTTGGCTTTTAAAATCTTTAGCAGCTTCACAGTCATAAAATGAAGTCTTGTATCTGACCGGGTGTTGCTATGGTAACTTGCAAGGTTGTAGAGTATTAAGACCTTTCAGAGTGAAGGGCTGGAAGGAATAATGATAGAAACATGTAAATAAAATGTTTGTGAGAAAAATAACCCAAACAATATTTGGCAAGTTCTGCTTCCAAAGCTTGGAGTCTGGGAATTATCAAAAAGAGAGTGCTCTCTAATGAAGGACTAAACAAAAGCAAACAGGGGGCCAGAGGGCTACTTCACATTACCTTTTTACTATTTATACAGGGCCATCTGATCGCAGGGAGCTATAGTTCCCCAGAATGATCAAGAGTGTACTGGGTGGGATGTGCCCCTAACACAAAGGCCTGTGCGCTGCAAGGCAATCCGCTTCTGAGAGGAACTGCAAAACCAGGTTGCAAAACAGCTGGATAGTGTTCCCTCTAAGCTGAGTTAGTGTGAGCTAGCTCACAAATTTTCAGCCTCTGGCTCACACATTTTTTGTCTTAGCTCAGGAAGGATGGCTCCAGAGCAAGCTAATTTATGCAGTAGCCATATTGCTTGCTCACAACTTTAATGCCAGTAGCTCACAAAGTAGAATTTTTGCTCACTCACAAGACTCCATGGCTTAGTGGGAGCATTGCATGCTGGGTCAGCATTTGGTTCCATGCAGTGTTCCCTCTAAGCTGAGTTAGTGTGAGCTAGCTCACAGTTTTTTAGTCTCCAGCTCACACATTTTTGTCTTCGCTCGGGAAGGATGGCTCCAGAGCAAGCTAATTTATGCAGTAGCCATATTGCTTGCTCACAACTTTAATGCCAGTAGCTCACAAAGTAGAATTTTTGCTCACAAGACCCCACAGCTTAGAGGGAACATTGCTGGACATACCATCTAAAGGTGAATATCTAAAGTCAGTAAAAGCAAATTGAGGCCCCCTGGCGAGGGGGAGAAACCAGTGGAATCTGTATAATCAACAGAACCTGGTGTGCACACAGACTGGTTGCTTTATATAATAACTGAAAACACAGATGCAAATGTAAAACAACCACATCTTTTAATAGAAAGCAACAAACATGCAAATAGCAGGTATAGAAATTTATTTGAACCAACGTTTTTACTATAAGGTAAGTTATTTTAAACATTGATCCAAGCCCCCATATGTTTGCAAGTTAAGGGAAAATATTGCACTTCGCATTTTCTAGCACCCCTCATACACGGCAAAACATTTTTAAAACATTTTGCTTATTTTACTTGCACACTCTCGCAAGTCATGCACACATTCATTCAAAATCAAAATGTTAGGTTACCCAAAAGCAAAACCTTAAAATTGCACTAAAGCTTTGTAAGGAAAAATATAATTCGTGACTTATACAAATGTCATGGCGTCTCGGTGCATTCAGAGAAGAGCCAATTACTCTTCATCTTCGTTTTCGTTTTCTTGGCCAGACCCTTCAGACCTGTCACCCTCTAGACGGTCTGCAGGACAGAAAGAGCAATTTTTAAAAGGAAAAGACATTTCATGTAGTTTTTCCAATTTAGAAAACAAAACTGCATAATGTTTCTCTCAATTTTAGTTTGGTGCACCATGCCAATGAACCAAACACAAATACATAGAATAGACAGGCACACATACTCTGCTAGAAGTAATCGCTTTGGGTACCACAGAGGGAGAAAAGTGGGCTAAAAATGTTTACGTAAGTAAATGTTAAAGAGGGAAGCTTAATGGGGGACAAAGAGTAACCAGCATTACAGATTCTGAGCAGAAGCTTCTGCAGAACTTTGCACAGGGGCTGGGGATAATCAGCAAGGTGGCTGACTTGCTCTGGAGCAGGACTAGTCAATGGAAGGCCTGCAGGATGCTCTTGCCCCATATAGTTTGCTTCATCTGCATTTACACAGACCTCAGAAAGTAGTCATTTTTAAAAAATGGCTAGAAAAGTGTATAGAAATAGTCTCCTACATAAGAAATAGAGTGAGTCAGAAGAGTGTCTAAAATCCTCCTACCTGCTCTTATGTGGTTCAGAGATGCCAACATCCTTAGCATAAAAGAAGCTGGAACAGTAATTGTGTTTCTTGTTTCTTCCAGCATTAATTCATTTCGCGTTATAACCTACAGACAAGAAGGGGGGCGGGGATAGTTACAGAACAAGTTACAGGACAAGAAAGGGAACAGGGGACAGTTACTGAACAAAAGAAAGTCAGAATAAATAAATAAAATAAATAAATAAAATAAAAGAAGGCCAAGTGCTTCTTCTACATATCTGACTGTACAATAAAGAGAGAAAAGGCCTTCTCTCTGCCTCAGAAAGCTGCTGCCAGAGCAGGTAACAGTGAGTCAAATGGACCAAACTGGTCTTTTGTGTCAGTATATAAAATTCTACATTAGTCAAGATAGACTTTCATGACACATACAGTTCTTAAACTGGGGGGAAAAAAAGGGGGGGAACTCAACCCAGGGTATGACCATGAACCAAATAGGGCTAAGCTAAACCATATATATGAAAAAGTACAAATATTTATTAAGGTGTACATGTGTTAAAACTTTCCTGATTAAAAATTGCTTTGTCTAAAATCAGACTGTAACAGCTTGTCCACTTTACATACAAATGATGGGTAAAAACTTTACAACCAAAGACCATATGCGTTTCGGCCCCTAAGGGCTTTCCTCAGTGGTCACTATTATCTATATATTCTAGACACACATTCAAAGACCTGTTACAGAATTCTAGTATCCATATAATTAAACCAGATGTTGTTTCCTGAAATTGTTCAAAGAAAAATAAAGGGGGGGGGGGAGAGAAACATCTTCATTATTTTGTCCAAATGTATAAAATAAACCATTATTAAATAAAAAAAGATTCTATTAAAGATAAAGTTACCTTGTCAACTTATAATTGGACTCCTGGTATTAGTGATGTAACAGGTCTTTGAATGTGTGTCTAGAATATATAGATAACAGTGACCACTGAGGAAGGCCCTTAGGGGCCGAAACGCGTATGGTCTTTGGTTGTAAAGTCTTTACCCATCATTTGTATGTAAAGTGGACAAGCTTTTACATACAGTTCTTGCCAGTTTAGTGGTGTGCATGATATTTAAACACTGATTCCAGTAACAAATAGTTCCTTTCTATATCATTATTTACTTGTAGTAGCATTTCTATCTGACCTACAAGCATCCTGGCTTCCAATTTTATGTTTCACTGATAAAGAAATCATACCCTATTAACATCTCTCTGTGGTATTCATTTATGAAATAAACGCTTTGTTCCTAGTTGCACATAAGTGTTAAAGATGTGGTATTAGAGATGTGGAGAAAATATCAACAACAGTAATCCCAGGAAAGTACAGCATTATTAAGGAGACTGTCATAAGCTCTGACAAAAGTTACTTTGTACTTCTTTCAGAAGGAACTTTTGGGAAATAGCAGTTTTAATACAGCAAAATATAAACATCTTACCTCATCAGCAAGCTTGCGATTAAAAATCTTGGACTCTTCTAGCGGTGACCAGATTTTTATATCATAATCAATACCCGATGAGGCTAGAACTAAGCAATTATTTAAAAATTATTTTAAAATATATTAGAAATATGCTGCAAGTTCTTATTTTCTTCACTTCTAAATTCACAAATACAATGTGCTATATTATCAATATCAAGCAATATGAATTCAGGAGACAACTCTTCCATGTTCTTGAGGAGAAATGAACATTTGGTACTTCCAGCCAAAAATAAAAACAAAGCCTATTCAAAATAAAGCCAAATAAGCACTAGCCTAATTGTGGTAATTTTGCAATATGTAGCACTCAGGCAATATGCCACTTTCTTTGGAAGGAATAGCTACACTTCAGAAACTTCACTCACCCCACATCCTTCAACTACAGATCCCCCCGCTGCTGCTGGAACTCTGCTTGCTGATATAAGAGCTCCTTGCCATTGCCACTTCATTAATGATGAAGGCATAGGGTTGCCAAGTCCCTCCTGTCAACCAGCAGGGGATGGGGGGACTTACCAGGAGCAGGAGGGAGGCCCAGCTGATGTTGCAACGCCGCCATGTCTATGTCACTTCCAACATGTCCTGGAAGTGACGTTATCACACAGCGGCATCAGGGCAACACTCTGGTTGGGCAAAAACTGTATGGTAAATTTGACTTCTACCACAGAAGTTTTACCCAAATACCAGAGTATTATCCTGACATGATGACGTCACTTCCACGTCCCGTTGGAAGTGATGTAGACATGTTGCTGCAATGCTGACTGGGCCTCACTCTTTTTCCAGGTAAGCCCCCCCCCCCGGCCAGCTGATTAGCAGCGGGGTGGTGGGGCCTGGCGGCAAGGAACCCCTGTCTTCACTGGGTGGTCTGGCCAACCCTACGAAGGCAAGAGCACCTGACATTAATAAGGGACCTTGTTTTCATTTCATTTTTGTCTAATCTGTAGGGCAAGTGTGCTACAATTAGAGGTCCAGAAAATCCACAACAGAGGGACAGCATCTTAGAACAATTGGAGGATTAGTCAAATAATGAGATTATAACCACTAGCTGTGATGACTGAAGAGAGCCTCCTTCTACAGAGGGAGTATATCTCTGATTAACTATGCTAGGGGGCAACATCAAGGAGAAGCCTTAGCCTATACGCCCAGTTTGTTTGGTACACCAGGGCAATTAGTTGGCCACTATATGAAGCAGCATGCTGGACTAGATGGACTAGTGGTCAGATCCAGTTGGCTTTATTTACGCCACATGTAAAACAACAATTGTATGTAAATTCACCTCTGAAAGGACTGTTCTACAATTGCAACGGAAGTGCCAAAACGCACTACAGACATTTTTAATCTTTCAAAAAAAAAAAAAGGTCACCCGGAAAAAATGGTTTGGGTGATACACAGTCTCAAGAAAAATATGTGTAAGCAAATGGAGTCAGTACAAGGGTAGAAAGAAACTCAGCATAGTTATCCTTGTGCAATACTGAAAGCAGCTTACAATTTAGCAAAAACTTGTTTACATGCCACTTTTCAACCATAATTATAAGGGGCAATCTTTAATATTCCCATTTTCATTCCATTTTTCACTAACACACTAGAATCAAAGTAGCCTAAAAACAGATATGCATGCCCATAACCCAAAGCTCAATGGATGTTTTCATTGGGTAGAAGGGAAGACGAGGCTGTTATAAACAAAATCTCCTGACTGAAATATCTTCTTTGGTTAAACTATTTAAAGTTTACAGCCTTATGTAGAACCCACTTGCATGTTCCCTATATATGGCTGCAGTGCTACAGCATTTTTCTGCAATGGAATGTGTTGTATTCTATACCTGAGCAGATGGAATTCTTCAGCCTGCATCCAATGGGATTGCTGTGCAGAATGTAGTGGTGCCAAGTGTCATGAACAGCTATAGGAGACTACTACCAATGATGTAAATAGTGATGTGGCAATACAGCCCTGCCCTTATATCTGTGCCACTGCTATGTTTAAAAATATACGTCACTTGATGTTAAATATTTCATAGACTGAGCTCAATCTTGCTATGCCATTCCAAAGTTGAAACATTCACGTAGCCTTTTGGAAAAAAGCGCCAAACACCAACAAGGACATCTCCTTCCCCTCACAATACTTTCCCATTTTGTTAACCTTTTGCTTTTATCTCATTTAAGAGTCTATGCTTTCCTACTTTTAACTCTGGAGCAACAGTATTTTTTTAAAAAACACCACAGTCACAATTTATTAAATTCCTGAGGTAGCTATCGCCTTCCTGATCTATTGCTTATCTATTATGCTTCGGCTACAGAGAACAGTATTATGTTCAAACAGAGCTTGTAAGAGTCATATGTGAGGTAGGGCGTGCACTCACTGGTCCTGGACAAATATGAATTCTTTCAATACCAGTGCAGGGATAAGTGAAAAGAGAAGCATTCTGGAAATTGGTAAGATCCTTTTCACTTCTGGGTGTACATATAAACTTTCAAGAAAATCTTTTTCCTCTCACATCTAGGTCTCATTTTTAATAGAACAATTTTTTGAACAAACAGATTATTGACTGCTTTATGACCTGACACTAGCATCTAGTTAACATATTAGTAAAGTCCTTCAATCACAACCCATTTTTTAAAAAAACATGTCCTATTATTTAGGTAGAATATGTGCCACACAGCCAGCTTTCAAGGGCAATCCTACAAGCTATGTAAGAGTAGGTGTACTGAAGACAGAAAGTGACTTACTTGGGTCAAATGGATGTGGCTGCAGACAGTTCACCACATGGTTATCTGCTTCCAAGAGCATCAAGTGCTCAGCAGTATGCCGATCCCAAATGAAAATATGGCCACAATCTGAACCTGGCTTCTTTTATCTACAGGAAAACATAAGTTACAATCCCAAAAGACATTTTAATTATGGTTGGCATTCTTAACTGAAAAACATGGAAGCCAAACATCAGCAACATGAACCAAATACAATATATAAAATGAAATGTTTTTTTCAAACTCTAAGTTACCAGCATTCAAAATTCAGACTGAAAACACAAAGCAGACAAGACATGATATCCAAATGTATAATTGTGCTACATAAGTAGCAGTGGACAGAGGAAAGAAAGGGCAAAAATTCAAATTTTCACAGTAGCCTCAGACTTGCAGTGGTCAGGAGAATCTGGTAGTGGGAATATAGCAAGCTTGAAGTAGAGCTTTAAAAAGAAACAGGAAAGAAATGCAGGTGAGTCACTGGCAGTATTATGGGGTTATGTTATAGAAACAAAAGATGTTGTCAGGGAGATGTGTTGCTGAACTGATCAGGATTCAAGAACAGTGACCACAATACTATCAAATTCAACATGTGTATAAAAAGTATATATAAAAAGAAAAGTCCAGCACAGTTATATTTAATTTTAAAACAAGAAACTTTTAAAGAGGAGGTTATTTAAAAGGAAATTAAGGGGGAAGCCACTTTTAACAGACTATGCCTGTCAGATAAGCTAAACTGGCCCCTGCTCTCCCTGTTTACCTTGTACTGACATGCCTATGCAGCCTCAGTACTCAGATATCCCCATCCCACTGACAGGAGCTGACACATGCTCACTTCCTCCCAAACAAAGAGATTTTTAAAAAATGTTTTCAGAATGATGTAGTTAAGATGAAATTCACACACTACCTGTAGCACATGGTGTGCTTTTTTATATACATACTGTACACATAAATGGGTTGAAAACTTTCATGTTCTAGTTAGAAGACACTACGCAGGCAATATATAAAGACTAGATCACTATCTTTTGATTTGTTATTTTATACAGACAACTGGGTTTAGGGCAGTCTGTGCCATCAGATAATTATACAGTATTTTAATACATTATGATAGAACTGCACACACTTTACATTTCATTATAATGTCACACTCTCTCTCTCTCTTCTAAAGCATATATGCATAACAAATACTTATCACAAATCAAAGGATGACCTTAGCAAGAAACAATGTACCATTGTCCGGGAATTACGATGACCTTTATAAACCATTTTTATCAGAGGACGTCTAATATTCAAGGTTTCCAATTCTTCCATCTCTTTTCTTTCTTTTCTTCTTCTGAAGAGTTCCTGGATACGAGCGACAGCAGATCGCCTAAGAATTAAGAACAGATTGACCATCACCATCACAAAGCTACATTATTATGTGGATATGAAGAAGCCCCTGAACAGCCTGGCTGCTTAAACCTCAATTGCTGCTGTGGGATTTACAAAGACTAATTGTATGCAGAAAACCAGAACACAATCCACAGAATACTTTTCATCAAGATGAACCAAATGATACATAACAGTGTGCAAGCTTTCAGGTTTACCAGAACTCTTAGTCAGGCTGGATGTTATTTTTTAAAAAATATTTAATACGAGAAAGGAAAATTCCTCAGAATGTGTCGGTGAGCCCTGGTCACGCCTGCATTGTATGCAGAAGCTATTTCAAATGATGCTGGCTTTACGTTACACCCGGCTTTTCAGGCAACTGTATGTAGATCCATTGCACAGAAACCTTTGCTATGTATAAAGCTGCTGATCGCTCTGTTTCCAAACAGGTAGCAAGTTCAAGCCTACCGATACAGCAGCTTGTGAAAATTCCCCTTCAAATGCTGTAAAAAGCACAAATAGAACATGTGACTTCTTTCAGCATAATGAACTCATTAGTAGTCACCAACACCAGCAGGCTTTATTGAAAATCACCTGCTTCCACCTAGCCATAAAAAGGCTAATTCCAATTGTCTAGACTTAGCCTGGTATGATAAAATGTAATGTATTTTAACATATGCACATTAAGCTACTTTCAAACATGCAACTCCCATCTAAATTCTATGGCAACAGTCCAATGAAATTTTGTTCATTCACACTTGAATTGGCACAGAAAACATTTCTTGAAGGAAAACAAGAAGCAAAAAACAATGACTGTTTTTCATTTTAATTGTGGGTGATTTTTTTCCATGTGAATTCTTGTTAAATCATGGAGAGATGAAGTTTGGGGAAAAAATCCACCAATTAGTTTGATACTCCTAACACATTTCCATAGATGCCATTCAGGTTAATAGTAGTAACAGAAGATGATATCCTGTGGATTAGATTTTTATTCTGTTCTTCAGATAAAAACAGCCTTCCCCCAAATTCAATGCATTGTGTTTGTGGCAGGCACTTTATAAGACATGGTACAGGCCCTGCCTTCAGTCTTACATAGTAATAGACAATATACACAAGAGAAGGGGAGTGGAAGGGAAAAATAACTAAAGAGGGATCAATTTGACTATTGATTTAGAAAATTTTAAAGTTGCCTCTCCAGAGGCTTGCTCAAGGCAGGTGCCGGAAAGAAGAGTCACTAACAAGTGCCTATATGTGGGGTGAAGCCCTGCTTACTGTAGGGGTCCACAACCTTTTTGAGCCTGTGGGCACTTTTGGAAGTCTAACACAGCATGGTGGGCATAGCCACAAAACAGCTGCTGAAGGAGGTGAAGCCAGCCACAAAATGGCTGCTACAACTTACTTTCAGTCAGACAGTGAAAATCCTTGTCTGGTGGTGGCAGCTACTACCAAAGCAACATTTTAAAAAATATGCACAAGCAATCAAATCTCCAATGACCAATCAGAAGCCATGCTGGGCAAATGCCCCACCTGACCCCACCCACTTGCAAAAAACACTTGGGGGGGGGCACCAGAAAAGGTGTCAGTGGGTGCTGTGGCACCCATGGATGTGACATTCGGACCTCCCGTCCTACTGGGACAGAAAAGATGAAATCTAACCAGTGACCCTGAAGGTTCTTCCTTCAAACAATTCTGGAACTATTTACACTATATACATAAAGAACTCTTCATTCAAATCTCCAACGTATTCCCCACACCACACACCGTTTCATGCCAATGTAATTCTATAGTGCAGTTTCCGACAATAAATCTGTACCTCATGCCATTCAGATAAAACAAGGTTGTACAGTATTATTCTGAATCTCTGCCATTATGGGGTGTCAATCTATATAGCTGAAAGTTTAATCTTCCAAGATATGCTTAAATATACCAGAAATGTTGCTGAAATTTTTCTGAAAGCTGCATTTTAACATCTGTCAATCAGCATGAAGTAAACAGTCATTAGTAAACAACCGGGAAGCATTATTTTGAGTTCAACTAAGATCATCAAACAAATCTTCACTGACTGTCTCTGTCAGTGAAGAAAAGTAAGGCATATAGGCCAATTTATTCTCTCCATGGTTATATGCTGAGAATTTACCAGGATACCAAGAGGAGGGCCTACTCATCTTCCCAGATGTAATAAATATCCTCTTGTAGTACCTCAAAAGAAAGAAGTGTTTTTTTCTGTCAAGTCACAGCTGACTTATGGTGAGACCGTGGGGTTTTCAAGACAAGAGACGTTCAGATTTGGTTTGCCATAGCCTGCCTCCACATCACAACTCTGATATTCCCTTGTGGAATCCCTTCCAAATACTGACCAGGGCCAACCCCGCTTAGCTTTTGAGATTGGATGAAACTGGGCTACCCTGGGCTATCTGGGTCAGGGCAGGAAAATTTTGCATGCGTGTGAATTCTTGTTCTATGTGGTGGGAAGGAGGGCAAACAGTTGCCCCACACTATTTTCTGAACCATGCAGCTCAATTTTGAGCTCCAGGATGCTAGAATATTACAATTCCCAGAGATGATGTTCTTTCATGTCCTTATGAATATTACCTATTCACCATTTTGTTCAAGACACGGGGTTGGATCCCATAATGCATTCACTGGTGGTTGTGGAGCTTCACTGACGGAAGAGGGAACAGCTGGCAACGTTGCTGCCTTCACCCTCCACAAGGGAGCCTCCTGACCCAAATGGGTATTTGTACACATGGGTTCCCTGACTTTGGGAATCAACCTTCCTGGAGTTGGAGAGGATTGTTGTGGGGAAGGAAATACAGGAAAGATCCAGTCTTTATGCTCATGAGTCACAGTATATAACCTGCAGATAAGTTCAGTAGGGCTGAGGGGGCCTTAGCTTGTTTGGTGTGGTCTGTGAAGCTCAGTAACCCCTTCCCCTTTGTTCCTTTTAGCATGATCAGGCATTTCCTTACATTATACAAGTGAATCCCAATGAGCACTTCTTACTTTTCCATGACTGAGATAACTTATCAAAGCCTCCAACATGGCCAGAAGACTGGTAGATGTGCACTTAACTTTGCTCTTGTTCAGAAGGTGATGCTTTTCAGAGCCCCCAAATTGCTTTTTAAATTTTCCAGACCAAAGAGAAACCAGGGGGGGGTTCTTAATCAGCAAACTACTTTTTCAACTCCAGAAGCTTTAAACAGAAAAACAAATGCGAACATGAAATGTTCATTCCATATGGATCCCAATTCATCATTCTTGCATGTAAGAAATGTCTTTTAAGTTTGTCCAGATAGTTTCATCAGCTAGTGAACAATGTGTTCAAACAATACCAATTATTTCAAAATAGGTAACCTATCAATAGACCTTGTAAATAGTGGCACATGCAAAATACACTACGTGCTTTAATAGATAAAATAGATGGGCTTCAGATTTACTTACATTTTTTAATACTGCAGTTATCTTTAATGAACACACTGAATAGGTTAATAAAGTTGTTAAACTTTTACACAGCAATTGGTTTGCACTATTGCTGAGCACAACATGCAGTCACTCTGTTCTTCACCCTCACTATATTGAAGTTTAGTAGATTTAAAACGGAGTAATACAAGAGATGGTTAGATACTGCATCAAAAATCTAATATATCAGAATTCCATATGGAATGGGAATTTTGAATTACCTCATTATTCTATCACCTACTGCTGTTCCTCTGATATATCTAATGAAAGGAATAACAGCTGAAGTCATTCAAATAAAAATTGCATGTACGGTCTTTAAAAGTAATAGTGTAAAATGAGTTCTAAATTAAATTTTTCAATTTCAAATTTATATTGTTTTCCAGATTACTTCTGAAGAGATGAAGTGAATCAAAAGATGTTTTCTGCACCATTATGGTTTCTCTTGCATGTCTCCATCCCTCTTGTCTCTAGCAAAAACCCTAAATGCATTTGCCAAGTATGTGGCTTACCATCAGTACCCTTGGTATTTGTAGCAACTTCCAACTTTACATAAAAGTTGGATGCAACAATCCATGGGTGCAAGGACTGCTGATCTTTCCCTTGTCTTCAGCAGTATTTTTCCATTCTAGGAAATCTGATTCTCCCTGACTCATGGGAGCCATGTGGACTAATAGCATGTGCATTTAGGGGGCTGCATGGGAAGGAGGCACAATCACCCTATCCTCTGTCTTACATCAGTAAGCTGTAGCTCTGCTGAGAGGAGGAGGAGTGATTCCCTCCCCATTCCCCCCCTCCCAACAGCCTTTTGACCCATGTCCAAATCCCATGAATTTGGGAGTGGATCTTCCCCAGGGTCTCAAATTATTGCTAGTGACAAGGGAAAGATCTGCAGCTTCTGTTGACAGATATCGCAATCTAATCCAATAGTTATTAACACGTTGAAGTCACAGCATAAAGGTTCAAAAACTGAACTGGTCACATAAAATATATAAAATTTGTACATTTGAACTATTTTTGTTGTCTATATCTAGTAGGTCACACATTGAAAGGAGAAGTAATCAAACTACTAACACAGAATTTATTAGTTAATATATATACCACTCTAAACTCCTTAGAGAACGTGAGTAACAACAATAATAGTTTGGGTTATCACTTTCTGAAGAGGTAAAAATAGTTCTAACTTTTGTGACTAGAGGCAGAAAACTTCCCTATTTAGTAGTTAATAAAACACAACACATGTTTTCTCCCTATATTGATCTGCTATATTTCACTATTGCAATTCTGCATATTATCCTTATTCAACAAAGGAAGAGAAAGGCCAATTTTGTATGCACACTAACTTTAAATGGGACTAAGCCATAATTCATCATTGCAGAGCGACATATGTAGTCTTACTCAGGACCTTAAAATATTAGAGAAATGGAAATTATTGAAAAATAATAAAGATGATTGGGATATTACCTATTCTTGTGGAAAACAGTAGAATATCTAACTTGATTATTTATCCTAAAAATCTACTGTATCTCAAGTTGTTTCAATACACACATGTATCAAAGAAGCTATATTGGGAATATGGCATTCTCAAAATTTCAGGATACAACCTAACTTAAAAAAATGGCAAAAAATAATATATAAACCCAACCACATTTTAGCGCAAGATCCCTATATACTTTCATTTTCTATTAGCTGCTAAAAGCATGCCTAAATGAAGGAAAAGTCTTGCAAGACTTCCAGAAGACACACTGGCTCTTAAATCCAATCTGCTTCACAACTGTGAAGAAATTACTGAGAAAAACCCTTTGTGTACACTTATTATGCAAACATGCCACAGAGAATACATGGGTAAACAACTTCTAAATCCATGTAATGTAAGACCCACATGACAAACTAAAAATATGCAGAAACGTATGCAAATCTAGTTCATATTCTAAAAATAATTTGTTTAAGCAGAGGCAACCGCAACCACAACTACAGATCTAGCAGGTCAGTGAAATGAAAGAATAATTCTTCATGCCCATAAGTATATTGCAAGTTGCCAGCAAGATGCATATGACCCTGTAGCAAGAAGCTTAGCATAAAGTTCCCCACATTCTCCTCAAACAAAATGACCAAGTATTAGGGAAGGGTGGTGGAGGGAAGGTATACTGCAATACAAACCTGTGGCCTGCTCCTCCACGATACCTTGCACCAGGTATCAGCACAGGGTCATCATCACTATCATCAGTTTCCTGGAAAACAGAACTCCTTGTGGATGATTCTTCATGAGAAGCGAGGCCCGAGGAATCGGGCTGGGACTGAGGTTCGTGATTTGTATTATTTAGGTTGTCAGTGGACTCTCTATTTTGCTGAGTCAGACCTTCTTGCTCTTCTGCTTTGCTTGACAACCTGCCAGACTCCAGGGGAGTGTTTAAGTCCAGGTGAGAATCATCTCCTTGTTCCATACTAGTCTCAGGCTGGTCAGATGCATCATCTGATAGAACAATGAAAACCTGCTAAGTTATCACGCTGACTAGACTTGGTGTACGTTTGAGAACGTTATAAGGTTATAAAATAATATTAATAGAGATAAATTGCTGACAGAGCTATAACTAACAAATGTAACTAGAAATGACAAACCCAAAGGATGCGGACAACTGTATTATACACTAATATGTAACATACCTGAATGTGGTGTTCCAACATTTTCATTCGTAAGTATCAGCTCTTCAACATTTGTAATATCCTCATGTGATTCTTCAAGGACTCCTGAAATTCAGTATTAAAAATATGTAATGAGGTTTGCCTCTGTATGGTTAAAATGGTTATAAAAAAACTTGATAGCCTAGTAGAATGACCTTTGCAAAAAAAATTAATTGAAAAGCTTCTATAATGCATCAATCATCTACATATTAAATGTGAAATAAGAGGAATGAAAAAGAAGGCTGCCTGATTCCAACTACTTATGTTAATACTTCTTACAATATACACATAGCACATTCTGTGGAAAAGTAATATAATTAGCCTAAGTAGTTGAAATCTACTGGTCAATTGCAAGCAGAACTGAGATATATCAATAATCACAAAACTATTTCTAGTCATTTCTTGAATTAGCATAACTCATGCAACCCAATGGATGGGATCCCACAGATCCATTCTGCCAGCAGCAGCATTTTCCTCAACTGCAAGGAGCATCCCACAGATGCAAGAGGCTCCTTGTACTGCCTTTAATGGAACAGATCCGTAGGATCTAATCTAACCCTCCTTTGCAAAGCATTTTATGGGTTGGATCCCACTTCCACGGTCAAAAGGACCTCCACTCTTGGATAACAAGTTTCACAGCTCCGCCCTCCCTCAAGCAGTCTGAAATGCCTCCTGAGACTCTGCTCCTCCAAGGAAGGCCTTGCACCTGTGGAAATGCAGTGCTGGATCCAACCCTACATGCTGGCTTGTTCATAACTGTATTTTAAAAGGTTTTTAAATATTTATTACCTGTCATGAACTATGAGAGATTAGTATTTTGTAATCCATGATACCATTTTACATGGATCTGAACAGATGGTTTTCTTGGCTGAGACTGAAGCCCCAATGAAACAAGAACCATGAAATCAGTACCATGAGTCCAAAAGTACTTTTAACTTATTTTTCTCTAAAAAGAAAATTCCCATACTATATGCCAAGTTACTTCTGTACCTAAGAATAGTTTCAAAAGCACGGCATTGGGCTCTGCTAGTGCAACAGACATCAATTCAGCTGCCTTGGCAGCCACTGTGAGGGCAAAAACATTTTGTAAAATAAGTAAAATAATTAATTCCACTAGGCTACTGCAACCCCACCTCCTCATGAGTCCAGCTTTGCTTAAGCATTGTTATCAGGTTGGAAAGTTTATCTTACACATGGTAGACACAGATTCAGGTGGGAAGCCTTGTTGGTCTTAAACAACAGAACAAAGTTTGAGTCCAGTGGCCCCTAAGAGCCAGTTTGGTGTAGTGGTTAGGAGCACGGACTCTAATCTGGGAGAACTGGGATTGATTCCCCACTCCCTGCCCACACATGCAACTGCTGGGTGACCTTGGGTCAGTCACAAAGTTCTCTCAGAGCTGTTCTCTCTCCTCGAAAGAGCTCTCTCACCCCCACCTACCTCACAGGGTGTCTGTTGTTGGGAGGGGAGGGGAAAGAAGATTGTAAGCTGCTCTGAGACGCCTTCTGGTAGTAAAGGACGGGGTATAAATCCAATCTCTTCTCCTTCTTCTTTAAGACCAACAAAGTTTAATTCTAGATATAAGCTTTGTGTGCATGCCCAGAATTAGACTTTGTTGGTCTTAAAGGTGACACTGGACTCAAATTTTGTTCTCGTAGACACAGAAATGTTTTAATGTTCAAAGACATAAAGGTAGAATATGGACCTTGCTATAGCTATAACTCCACATCTTACTTGATTCTTCACTCTCTGGTGTTGGTGCCTCTGAGCTCTGGGTTCTTAGGGATTCTTCCTGGCCTTCAGGCTTGCTGTGACTTCCACTCCCTCTGGAACTTGAAGCTGTGCTGCTCCTACCAACAAGACCATGCAAAAAGTCAGACACATGCAGTATGAAAACTACAAAAACAGGACAATTTTACTACCACTTCTAATAATCTTTAAAGGTTTGTTTACATTTGTAAAAAGCCAGCTGAAAGACATTTTAGGACAAAGTTTCAGAAACTTTTTGCAAAATCTACCTAATTACTGTTCAATCATATTTATAAAATCACAATACATGCTTGACCCTACAGCATTTATATCATGAGGTCCCTTCCACCTTGTCTCCCATCTATATGAAACCACTGAGAGACACTGTTCAGAGGCATGGAGTGAAGCGTCACCAATAGGCAGACGATGCCTACCTGTATTCCTCCCTATCAACTTAATTAGGTGGATCCCTGAAGCTCCTGACAATCACTTAGAGAAAGTAATGGGATTGATGAGGGCCAATAAACTGAAGTTCCATGCAGACAGTACTGAAATACTGCTGGTCAGTGGAAAAGCCAATTGATAACAATGTGGGGTCAGCCTGTGCCGGAGGGGGTTGCACTTGGAAGGGATGCATTTGGAAGCTCAGGTCTTCTCCATGGCACGTAATACCTTTATTTATTTATTTATTTATTTATTTATTTATTTATTGTATTTGTATCCCGCCCATCCCGTGAGCGGGCTCAGGACGGGTCACATCAACTTCAATAATACAGTAAAGTTTAAAACACAATAAAACATTTACATAAACATTTAAAATCAATAGTTATAGCTCCAGCTGATATATCAGCAATGGACATTCCTGGAAAAGCGGAATTTGTCCGCAGCGATCCATGCTCTAATCACACCCAGGTTAGATTACTATAATGTCCTCACCCCAAAGTCAGCTGATCCAAAATGTGGCAGCCAGAATACAGTTGGGGGCTGGCTACAGGCACTGTATCACCCCTGTGCTGAAAGATCCACATTTGCTTCCGTGTTGGCTCTTACTTTTTAAGGCCTTCAACAGGACCTTTGGAGTACCAGACTACTTTCTACTGTCCTGTCCAGCACATCAGGTAAGATCCATCTCCCAAGACCAGCTCTCCACCCCATCTGCAAAGGTGAGGTGGACAGTGACTAGATACCAGGCTTTTCCAATGGTAGCATGGCCTTCAGGATTCCTTCCCCTGGAAGTTCACCTAGCACCTGCTTTACTGCCTTTTAGGTGTCACACTAAAATATTTATTTTTACCCCAGGCTACTGATTAAAGAGTAATTTTTTTCAGTTGTTTTAGGGTCTGTTTCTAGTCTGAGAATGGTTTTATGGATTTTTAAAGCTGCTCAGTGTTTATTTGATGCTGTTTTTATATCCCTGGTCTGTTTATAATGACTTATAGTGATAATTATGCTGATACTGATCATTTGATACTGATAATTTATGTTGATAACATATGGTAACTTATACTAATAATTTATGTTGTTTTTTATGATTTAATGATATTGTTTTTACTTGTGAGCTAGATTTGATCAGGTATCTGTAGAGGCAGCACATACATTCCCTCAATAAATAATGTATGCATTTAATCAGGGTTAGTAGTTTCTTTAGCATGATGGTGTGTACTGATTTTTGCTACTTTTTAATATATTGTAGTAAAATAGAAAAAAGGATATACTGCACAGTTTAGTAAAAATGAAGGTTTTAGATGACAGCCTGTTGCATATCAGACCATAACAGCAGGCCTGCTGGATTACACCAAATTTCCATTTAGTCCAGTATCCACCATGATCAACCACAATGCCTACAAGCAGAGCACAGAAACAAAGCTTCCACTGTTGCTTCTCTACCACAGTATCCAGAGGTATGCCATCTTGGAACATGGAGGTTGCATTTATACACAATGGTGAATAGCTATCAATAGACCACGATTTTGTTTAATCCCCTTTTCAAGTCATCTAAGCTAGGGGCCACCGCTGTATATTATGGCAGCACACTCTGTAAGCCAATTGTTCAGTTAAAAAGTACTTTCCCCAAACTTACAAAAACCAAAATACATTAGTACATGAAATTAAAAATAAATAAATGACTGCCTCTTCACAATTTTTAAACGTTCCTTCCAGTATTTTAAAGATCTTATTCATGGACCAGATACATTTTCTAAAAACTGAACACACCATATGCTCCTTTCATTATTCTAACTTAATATCTCTTCACTAATCAGACCATTACTACAGTGCAGTACAAGACTATAAAGACAAAGCAAGGTAAAATTGCTACAATGACAGAAGACATGGCTGACAGAGAAAGCAGTCAGCTCTTACCACTCATCCGTGAAGTCCAGTTTTATTGTGCTCGTAGTTGTTCCTTCTGTACTGTAATGTAAACTTAAAACAGGTTCACCTGTTCCTGTCCGTGGGCTCATCTTTTCATCATCTGAAAACAAAGTGTATTTAATTATGACCACAACACATTATATAGTCAGATCATAATTACGAAGGCAATTTGACTTATTCTACTTAATGTGGTCATAACAATTGCTCTTGCTCTTTTAGAATCTTGTGAGGAGACTACACAAAGGTACGTGCTTACATATTAGCTAAGTTTACTTTTCAGCTCTTTGGAAAAGACCTAAAAATACCAGGAAAAGAAAGAAATGAAGCTTTACAAATGTATAACATTTCTTCAGAATCAATCAGTGCCATTCCATGCAGAGATTCATTTAACTTTTTAAAAAAACCACACAGAAATCTATTGTCTAAATATAGTACATCAGAAAGGTTCCTGACAAACATATTTAACAATTTTAAACTATGCTAAATATATGCTGACGACATATACCCAGTCAATACTTTGAAAAAATATATAACATATTTGTTCTGCTTTGAGGAGCTCTAGTGAGTAGACATGTACAAACAATTCTTACATTTCACAGAACACAAAAACTTCAGTGCAATGCATAAGTGTAGATACTTTTACAGGGGGCTACATGCAGGCAACAGAAGCTCATTTGGTGCCCACACTGCTGGGTATTCTGCTCTTGTATGAAAAGAAACTAATTCACAAAGATATAACATCCTAAAAACAACCAAATGGAGAGGAGAATGATATAAGCTGCTTTGGGTCCCCACTGGGGAAAAAGGTGAGTGTGATGGACTACATTTTTAAAAGCTTAGAAGTCCTATACAAACAGGTAAATGACTGCGAAGAGTTAATTCTTCACAGAGCCAGAGCACCTTGAGTGACAGGCTGTTCCAGGTGATCTTAGTTAGCATTTGCTGAACAGAGAAAGACTTCTGAATGGGATGCTGAGGAGAATTCAGCCTGATTTTAGCCCTAGCTACGAAAAGTCAAGTACTGACAGTTTTGGAATTCAGCCCTGACTGAGAGCAGTTTAACACAGACAGGAGAACTGGGGAAAGTTGGCAAGGACAAATGGGTAGTTAGATGGAGACTCCCATTCAGGTCAAGGAAAGGGGATAGATCTTCTAGAGAGAGAAGAAATTTCTCCACCCAGTCTAAACAGGGTGATAGCTCTGAAGAGTACAGAGATCCTTGGTCTGGTGTGGTTAGAAACTGACTTTAGAGACCTTAGGAGTCAGTTAAAAACTCAAGACGAGTACTGGTGTTTCCAGAGAAGATGTTTGGGTACTGGAAGAGTGTACCAGCCTTTTTGAAACTAAAGGAGTTAAGGGATTATTCAAAGAAAGTGTACTGAAGTGTTTGGTGAAAACACTGGAATAAAAACCTCACAATATAAAGATTTAAGTAACTGTGAAAAGCTTAATAAACTCTCTTTAGCCTGAAATATAAGAACTGAAGTCTGTGCATGTACTGATTTTACCTCAGAGTTATCTATATTGAGTTACCGCAGACATTTTACCCCTATTGCACCTGACCTTTCCTCTCTATATTAAATAAAATGTTTTGGCAATTTGGAATATAAAAATGTCTCACATGTTATTTAAGTTAAAGGGGGCTCCCAATCCTTCCGTCATGTTCCTGGGCTGAGCAAACAGCCAAAATATTATACTGTGACAGGGTGGGAGAGCTAAAGGTCTTCAAGAAAGAAGAAAACACATTACTAGGGCAGCTTAATCAGAACAGGGAAAATGGATTGGAGGGGAAATTGTGCCTCTGAGGGACAGAAGAAGCACAAAGTCAAATGTTTTGCTTCAACTCCCAGATAACAGGTAGCAATGTCAACTAAGAAGAGACAGACTAATCACTGAAGGAAAGGAAATGGAGGACACACACACCACTGTCAAAGAGCAGGAATATGGGTTAAATGGTGGCTGCTCCGAGTTGCTGGCCCAATATCTTGTGTTTGCCTAGCTTGCCCTAATGGTGCATTGGCAACCAGGGATAGCCCTGATATCGCTCAGAGGTTTGGTTCAGATCCTGGGAGTGCCGTTGGAACTTTGTTGCAGGAGTGATTCTCCCACTTCCTGAATCTGAAAGGATGGGTGGGGGGGAGAGACGTGTGTCATTGTGGGATAGAAATGATGTAAATAAATAAATATGTTATGTACCAGAGCAAAGATCCTAGACAAGAGGTCTGCTTCTCCAACATTAGCCTTAGGTAACATGAGCGTGGACTATAAAATCAACTATTCTGATTCTAGGGTTTCCTTCAGCCCTCCACAATTCAACAGAGAAACAGGCACTGGCCCCTCCATGCCACACATGACTGTGTATATCCTTCTACAATACACCAGTGGACTGGATATGCACAGGAGCTCCTAACAGTTAGTAATTCAAAAGAGAAAATGCTTTGGGCTGTTCATCCAGTGACACTAGATTGATAATTTAAATTCATTTTGCAAATTGCACATAGTTCTGAAAACAATGGCATATAAACACTTTCTAACATATGCTGCAGGGATAAAGAGGGAGCAACAAATGGGCCAGCTACTTTCCCCATTTTTTGCTTTACAAAAAAGCTTATCCCGAAAATTCTAGACAGACTATGCACCTTAAAGACACAATAAAGCAGGGAAACAAAAAGATTGAAAGGACCCTCATCAATATAACAGGAAAGGAAGATGGAAATGGAAAAAGGACCAAACCCTGTCACCTTCTCTCCATGCCCCCCTCTATGATAATTACGTTCAGATATTGTACATTATTAGATGCTCAACAGGGTGTTGTTGGGCTAGCATTGTGCTATTCCAGACTGTGTTATTCTTTAGGGCAAAGCAAATGCCAATATATGGCCAGGATTTGGAAGGCATGAATGGAAAACTGTAAGCTGGAGCATTAAACTCAACCTCATTATAGTACTTGTGTTTCATTTGTTTAACCACCAAGCTAGAGACTTCAGTAATACTCCAATTTAAACTAATACATGTAAAGAGATTCTGGTCACATTTTAAAAACAATTTTCTGACTATAAAAAAACAACAATATATAATAAGAAAGGGTTACCTCTAGACAAAGGCTTGTATCCAAATAACTAAGCACTGTGTACATGTATTGGGGCTTTTCCAGTCCCCCTTCTTACTCTAGTCACTACTGTTCTTGGGCAACCCCTATTTGCATACAGTCATGTTTTATACCTGTGCACAATGTTCTTTGGATTGCACCCAAAGTCTTTAAGCTTTGCTTGCTTGGCAGATTAATTACATAAGACACTGTAGTATCAGTATGGATGTTTTGCCTCAGTCAAAAAGGAAGAGCATTTGCAATGTCCAGAACTGCCAAGCCACAATGAGACCAGTCAGTAAAAGTACCTATCTCACAGTACCCAGACAGACGACCTAAATCCAAATAACACTTCAGCATGCTTAGCTTTCAATAACTCACGGTGATAAAAATGGAGGAGTCTATATGTACTTCTATGCAATAAATGAAGTCCAAATGTAAATACCTCTTAATCCAGACTCCGTATAAATTAGTTATGATGAGGGTGTTTTTCTTAAGATCGTAATGAGAAACTTGCACATACTCATGCAACAATTGTAGTTGGTGAACAGCTCTGCTTTTAATCTACTGATTACTTTTTAGTCTATTTAATACATGTAGATACTGCAAAATTTCAGTGTTTTTTATTTTTGAGAATCTGAAGGAAAAAAGCAACAGCATTTTGGTGTAAAAACTTTCATGACAATCTGATTAACTGCATTTGTAAAAATGTAATCTTAATGTGTACTTGTATCTCTGTAATATCAACTTTGTGGATAAGGTGGCTCCTGCAACGAGTGCAGTCCACCTTGGAAGGAAGATCACCTGTCTTTGATAATGAGAAATAAATGCTTGTGAGTCTGTACCTAGCATAGTCACATCCAAGATTTTGGCCCAAGATTCAGATTTTCAGTCTCCTTCTCAGGGCCATCAGCTGGGCCACACACTTATTGGCTTCTTTTAGGATTACTATGCATGCCTGTTTGGGAAACTAAAGCACATGTAATCTGGGAATGAGAAGCAATAATCTGGAATTAACAATTTAACTATCTTCTATATTTAAGACATGGCTGATTTGTATTTTTTTTAAACGTGTGATGAATAATCCAGGTCTTCTAAACAATCAAGCATGTTTACAAATATTATATGGCAAGATTCTAGTGGTGGGTTCTTCCACCCTGAACTGCTATTTAACTTGACATTACCAGATCCTGCCCTTCAATTTATGCCTACCCAGGAGTTAGGATGCTAAGGACCTTCACTTTCACCTCAAAGTATGCATGGCTTGTGCAGTCTACCTACCCACTTTTTGAAGCAGACACTGAAATAAGCAGAGCCTACTGGAATGGCGTTTTAAGCACTAAGGCCTGTTTCTCACATGTGAGGCCTGAAATCTTGCTTCAGCACACCAATACATATAAATCTTATACCCTGGAGCAAAGTAAGACTTAGACCTTCTTGCAGCTTGTTTCTGAAATGAATGGTTATATCAATCAGATGGACTTTTCTTTCTTAAGTTCATTAACAGGCCACTGTTGCTTTGCAATCTCTTAACATACCTGTCTACAAGAGTCAGCAACACCAATCATTAAAAATAACTACAAGAAACTATAGACTTCCTGCTCCATGGCACAAAACCATCAAAAATGATCATCTTAGACTGAAATTACAATTTATAAGCTCAGGGTAGCACTCTCATCATTACGTTTCCAGCCAATGACAACTGCGATGCTGCTTGGATGATTCCAAAACAACCCTGTAGGTCAGCATATAATTATTGCCATCATCTGTCAGTTTTATTTGTGAATTGTTGCTGTTTTAAACTTGGTACTGTATTATTAATTGTTTTAAGCCCTGTATTGTTTATGTTATTTTAACTTTGTTAGCCGCCTTGAGCCAGTGTGCCCAGCAAGGCGGGATACAAATAGAAACAATAAAATAAATAAATAAAATAAATAAGTATTTGTGGAACCTCAATTGAGGATCTGCCATATTACGTTTTAAATTGTCCCTTATACTCAGAACCAAGGGAAAGATTTCTCGCCATTATATTGTCCGGTCTCCATCCTCTTTCGGACTCTGATAAATTAATCTCTATGTTGTCAGATACAGATTCTTTCGTTTCCCACAGGACAGCACTTTTTGCCATAGCTGCCAAGAAAATAAGAGCAAATGTAGCAACTAGGAAGGTATCAACTGATACAATGTCTGCTAGTTAGTTTGTTAGAAACAATCAGATTTTAAAGCTGACTAAGTCTTAGATAATATGTATTAATTATATTGCTATATTTTACTGAGGTATTTTATTCTTATATCTGTAAGTACATTTTATTATGATTTCAGATTGTGAAGGCCTATAGCCATATACAGTAAATTTTCTACCTACCTACCGACTTCCTTTTACAGTGCACTAGGGCTGCAAAGTCCTCACTGGGGCTCCCATTTCCTGTTGCCACTCCAAAAATAATACCAAAAAATCCATTGGGAAAATCCAAAAGTGATTCCTAGAGAGGTATGACATCACTCTGTCTTTGCTCTGAAAGTGACTTCACGCTGTCATCAATGACACCACCGCCCCATCCTTGCCCCTCCCATGTGCCCACATTTAGCCTATTAGATGCAGTTTATTACCTAGCAAGTTATATTGAAATATAATTTAACAATGGAAATTTATTTTATCACAGACCACCATTTTGCTTTATACTCAAAATGGAGTCATTCTGTTCTAAAACTCTGTTGCCTGTTCTAAATTATGAGTTGTGGCTGATTTGAAAGGGCCACTTAAATAGCCCCCTTCATTGCAGGTGATGCTGTTCAACTCTTCCAGAAAAACTACTAATATGGGTAAAGCAAGAAAGCCCCATTACAGGAAATGATTTCAATCTAATTATTCCTCAACACATTAGACTGGAATAAAGGTAAAGGTAAAGGTTCCCTTGCTCGAAAGCCAGTTGAATCCGACTCTAGGGTTGCGGTGCTCATCTCCGTTTCAAAGCCGAAGAGCCAGCGCTGTCCGAAGACGTTTCTGTGGTCATGTGGCCGGCATGACTAAACACCAAGGTGCACGGAACGCTGTTACCTTCCCACCGAAGTGGTCCCTATTTATCTACTTGCAATTTCTTGCTTTCGAACTGCTAGGTTGGCAGGAGCTGGAACTAGAGACGGGAGCGCACCCGGGTCTTGAACTGCTGAACTACTGACCTTCCACAGCCTGCAGTTCAGCGTCTTAACCACTTGAGCCACCGCAGCTCCGTTAGACTGGAATAGGAGGCCCTTAATCCTACAATTCTTTATACTGAAGCAGTCCATCTTATTGATCACATTTTATTTGTGTCTAGACTACAGAAAACAAAAGTGTTAACAAAATAAGAAATGACGCAGCCAGTTATTAGTACCTCTATAACAGAGTGATGATAAACAGCACCAAATGCGAAGAACAGTCAAGCAGCAACTGCATTATTTTGTTCTTGATGGGAAGCATTTGAGCAAACAACAGCAGCACAAACTAAGTAACTACACCAGCTGCTTAATAAACCTTGACAAATGACAACCTGTAGGCTGAGGGTCCTGTGAGGAGCCCTTAGGGGAAGACTGATCAGAGCTGGAAGACTGTTGTGCTGAACCCTCAGCTATCTCTCGCTGTCTCTGCTGTTCAGCCTTCTTAAGCCTCAGCCGCTGCAGGCCCCTACGGAGTATAGCTAACTCTGGCGCCATTAATTCTGACAGACAGGAAAAAAAGGGTGTAAAAAGAAACAGGCATAGAACATAGGATAAAAAGAACATAAAGACTAAAGAGCGAGGTAATACTGAATAGAGGAATAAAAGCAGCAAAATTCTTTTTTAAAAGCAGATTACTAATACTCAGTAAATGGTATGCATGAAAATAAAGCATGCTTTATCTGAATTTATCCATTTTAAAATTATGTGAATTATGAAGCTCATTTCTCATGCTTGGAGCCTCCACCAATCTCTCAAACAATGAAGCAATTATGTGAAGTAACTTAAAAGAAAAAGCTAAAATGGTATGACACACATGAACTGGTATTTGTGATTTAATGGGTGGTTCCTTCCTGAACACATTAATGCATGTAAGATTTTAACATAGAGTTTAACATGGAGTCAAGGAGACCAAAGGCCTGATCAGCATATAGAAAAGTCTTTCTTTTTTAGGAAAGTGGCTGTTGCCATCAAAGTTTCTGTTGGGTTTAAGAAGATTTTCAACCCTCCCCATTAAAAAAAATCACACTTATAATCTTTGTTTAATGAGTAAAAAACCCTAAACTAATGGAAATAGAGTAGCTTATCTCAAAGTGGTCCTGAGGCAAATACATGGTTAAGAAATACTTTTGAGATGACAATGTAGCCTTTAAAAGGTAGACAAGAAACATACTGTCATGAAAAACAAATGAAAAGCAGCAGTATATCTTCTGTACCAAGCTAACATTGTACAATATAGAACTTAATAATGTGACCTGACTTCCGTTTTTATTTTGCTGAACTGATCAAATTTTGCTAATCTGGTCAACAGGATCAAGAAAACCACTGTTTCTGGGAGATATGGACTGAGAACAAGGAAAGATTAAGATAGGGACTAAAAGTTTGATTGAGAAAAAATGTGACTTTCTTCCTTTTTAAAAAAGGTTGATGAAAATTTTCTTTAATTTCTTCTTTGTTAAGGAAGATCAACTGGTGTCTGACTAATGTGGGCATATAAAATCTTCTCATATTTACTGTTTATTTAGGGACTTATGTAGCATCTAATAGTTCTGTAATATGAAACAAGTCTGAGTGACAACTGCTTTAAGCTGAAATGGCAAGATTTTAGTAAGCAGGGTGATTAAACTGCTTTAAAATCCTTAACCATTTTGCTGTTTTGGGCTGCATGTCCCAAAGAGAAGTTTGGCTGTAACAGCCACAACACAGTGAATGGCAATAGTTTGAATTCTGAGTACCTTGAGCAGAATTCCGTTCAAGAATTAAGGCTTTCCTACCTCTTCCTTCCCTCTGTAATCCTTTGTATCCCCCAAAAGCCTGCTCCTGATGGTTGGGGCCACAGTAGAATGTTACAGAATATGGTACAGGAGCTACAGTAGGAGGATGGGATTCCAGAAAAATCCAAGGCTCTCTTTTATACAAAGTAGAAGTACTTTCAGACAGCCCTGGGGCCCTGCCAATACCCATTTATCATTACTGAGGCTACATATTTAAGAAGAGGACAGTGGAGTGCCTAGGGGAGAGGACAAACCACTTGATATGGGGCCTAAGAAAAGGGAAATTGCAAGAACTTCCTAGTGACACAACTCTTCCAAACAGGATAAGTTAAAAAGTAATCATATCCTATCAGTCACTTTATGTAAGTCCACGCCACAACTCTTAAGTACTCTGACAGAGATAATACCTTTCCTAAAGGCACCAAATCTTTTGGAATACAAAAAACTCTTTGTTAGTGTCCCTTTTGTAAATCAAGGTGCTTTGAGCATATAGTAACTACCCTCTCCTCAACAAAACAGTGCTTTGCAGTAACTATGTAGAAGTCTCTCACATTCACAAATCTGGTGTCCATTTGGAGTAACTCCATATTATAGCTAAGCAAGTACATTTTAAAGGTTAAAAAAATGACTGCTTTAAGTTTGAGCTTAAATCTGAACATTAAGATTAAGAAAACTAGATACCTAATTTTGAAGATCTAAATGGTAGACTAATTGTTCTGTATCAATGTAACAGAGCAGAAATATAACTATTTAACGTCTGACTTCTAATATTTTTTCTTGGAAAAGTCTGGACAGCCTTGGTCAGAGTTCCAAACACCATGGAATTAGTTCTGTAAACTTCAGGGGGCCTTGGTTTCTTTTTCTTCAAGAAATAGCACCCTATGCTACAAGACAGACAATTTCAGAAACCAAGGGAAGCCATTTCAAACGCAGTTTGTGACACAAGGAAGTCTTCTGATCAAAGGGGAAAAGTCCAAAATTCCACGAGCAATGAGCTTAAGCAGCTCTTTGAGCCCAGCCCTTGATTTCAGACACACTGTTTTTCACCCTATCCAGGTAATGAATGAACAAGCCCATATGAGCAGGGTGGTGGAGGTGGATAAGAGTATCTTCAAAATGATCAAATGACCTATTCTTGACTTATAACATAGGCTAAATTAGATCAGGTTTGTGATCACTTCAGCCCCTGACAAACTGAGCCCGCTGACAGAACATTAGCTCATACTATACGAAATGCCTTAACTTGTGGAACAGGGGTCAGCACCTGCACTTACTGGCCAGGCTGACTGCTACTGGAGGATGGAGAACATACATCTCCAGAGCACAATTCTTAATCAGGCTCCTACATCCATTAATCTTGGTCCACACTTTCACATTCAAAACATACTATGATCTAAACTAGGTGCAATGGTGTTCTTGTGACCACCGTGAGGACGCTGCTGCCATTGTAAAGTAATCTAAAAATGCTGTGAGGGCCTGATCCTGATCAGGACTGCAGGTTGGTGGACTGAAGCACTCTTGTCCATCCCCCCCCCCCCCCCCCCAGTATCTGTGCTGCATGTGCTGAAATGGCTGCATCCCCACCACCATCCCCGCAGCAATTTCAGCACTTGAAAAGGTTCAGGAGGGGAGAAGAAGAGTGCTACACTGTGGGCTCAATCAGGATTGGGCCCTCCCACCATTTTTAAACAGCTTTAAAATGGCAGCAGAATCCTTGCAGCAGCCACATCTATAGTCTGGCTCTGAGAGCTCCTTCACGGGTAACCAGAAAGCCATTTGCTGCAGATTACAATGTTTGCTTTGAATCTCTGAACTCTCAGCAGATAATTTTATACCATATTAAATGGCTCTCAGGTAGTCTCCAAGTTCAGTCTTAGAACTGAGCAATCATAATGCTTCATTAGATGAATCTGATATTTTCCTACACAAAAAAATACCCAACATCACATGCAATGATTTCCTGTAACTGAAGCAAGATAAACATTTGCACAGTTTACATACATGTACAGAGGTCTATCCAGTTACATTTTCCCTATGCAAAGATCACTTCTATGCAGGCAGTGTGTTTTACGTTTCTATACTGGCTTGCTGCCCTGAAGGAAACTCACATCTTGATAAATTAGATTATGCCATGTCATTAGCATAAATTAAATTCCACTATTTAAAATAATCTAATATGCAATTGCAATCAAAACAATGAAGAGTATAAATCAGAACATGTAAACTGTCTAAATAAAATTAAGAGACTGCTACTATTACTTTCAGTACTTCCTTCTGGCCATAAATTATAGCCTTCACCTCTCCTTCCCTACAATGCTTACTTTAACCAAAGCCTCCATTCTTTCCTATGTTATATAACTGTGCCTCCCTGCCTAGTGAAGATGCTGTTATTTGCTTTCTACATCCATGACTCTGATCCAGATCAAAGATACTCAATTCACGTGAGAAATGGTGCACATGTAAAAAGAGGTGGAGAAAAGAAGCTAAGCCAAATTGAGGGGGGGGGCTCTTAATCATCCAGCACAAAATCCCTATGCAACACAGTAGTTCCATGTTCTGTGCATATAATGTTTCAGATCTGAAAGGAGACAGCAGATCTACTTGGATTCCTACTTTTTAGCTATACCTGCTATTGATAAAGCATTTGGATATCTAGAATGGAGAAAAGCCTGGTACAAGAAAGCCCAAGGAACAGATGTCTCATTAGTTATTTAATATAACTATACAAACTTTAGCAAAGGCGGGGATACAAAGGACAACTGATTGTGTACTCTTGAACAGTAATCCCCATGCCACAAGCCAAGCTGCTTTAGGAAATTAAGTGTCTTTCAAAAGCAGTTTGTGATATGCCATTAGGTTCTGATGTTCAAAGTAAAAAACAAAACACTGAGTTGGACCCAGTATTTCCACTTTCCCTATGGTGCAGCAGAACCACCTTCATGGGCAATGTTATAGTTCATGTTATAAAATGGAGTTACTTCAGATTTAATACATTACCTGTGCAAAAATGGTTTTAGTCAAAATAATAATAGTTAGAATGACTTCAGGGCAAGTCCCAGACAGACAGGGCACATTGCCACCAAACTGTTGGGGAAAAGCTGCAATGCAGGCATGATTCCTGTAACACCCAAGTTGTTCTATAAAGCTGCAGAAGAGTCCTAGGGCTAGCCCTATTATTCTGTGCTTTCGGGGGGTAGACCACAACTGATGTCTAACTGTGTTGTAGTGAGTTACAGCCAAACTCCAATTTTGCAGAGGCATCTAGTGAAGTTCTAAGTGAAATAATTAGTATTTACTGTTAAAGGATTTGTAGTTTCACCTGAACTGCCCCTCTTTGAAAACATGTACTCCCTTACAGCCACATATAAAACTTAAGTTGAATACTGATACATTAAATCCACATTCCAGTTACATCACACACCCAACAAACCTGAGTAGATGAGATACCTAAAGCATTCCAAGGTTGAAACTTAGTTAAGGCATACCAGACTGATGGAGTGTAGGAGGTACGGGGGTCTCCAAGGAAGGTCTTTGTTCATTGTCAGGTGATGACACTAAGGAAGTAGAAGGGGGGCTTTCCGTTGAGGAGGAGGTTGAGGGAGCTTGTGCTGACATTGTGGAGGATGATGACTGAAGCTGTTCTGGACCATCCACTTCCATCGTGGCCTCTGTTTCAATACTTGCAAGGGCACCAGAAGCAGCAGAGACATCTGATCTACTAGTCCCACCTTTGAAGAAAAACAGCCAATCAACTTAGTAACAAAGAACTTACTTCTATGTTGCTATGTATCTCATAAAAATGAACTGCATAACACAGTACATCATGAGAAAGGATTTTAAAAGGTTTGCAACCTTAAAAAAAATCTATTAAATTCCACTTCCTACTACAAAACAACCTCACTGATATTTCATGTTGAAGAAGACCGTGGGGGTGTTAAAGGTAGTCACCTCTAGACCGAGATCTTCCTCGTCCTCTGTTGCTCTGTGCGACTTCACTTGCTTCTTCAAACCACCTTGACAACATGTCAGACATCCTTTGCATTAATGAGACATTAGGGCTCTGCTCCCCTGTATGTAAGCAGAGATGATAAAGCTTTTAACAAAAGTAGCACAATACTTCTGAGCCTCAACTGTGGTTGCCAGGTCAAATCTTCTCCCCAGTGGGGGGATTTGGGGGGGCATTCCAGGAAGGGCTGGGGACTTCCCAATGTGATGACATCACATGGAAGTGACGTAATCATGACTGGGAAGCTGGCACTGTGCACGCCTGAACTGCAAGCGGCGAATTTGCTGCTCGGAGTTCAGGCACAGGTGGCCCCTGCTTGGAAAAAACCACTTAAAGAGACGGTTCCCTTTAAACGTTTTTTTGCAAGCGGGTGCCACATCCTTCAAAGCGGTGAATTTGCTGCTTGCCGTTCGGGCACAGGCAGCCCTTTAAATGGTTTTTTGCAAGCAGGAACTCCCCCGTGCATGAACTCCAAGCAGCGAATTTGCCGGTTGGAGTTCAGGCATGCGGTGCCTGCCTCCTGGGACTGGCAGCTGCTCCTCTCCCTCCCCTCCTGAGAGATTAAAGGGCCCTTCAGCTGATCTGCAGGCCACATGCTCCTGCCGATCACCTGGAGGGCTCTTTAAATCTCACAGGAGGGATGGGGTCAGGCCTGTAGCTACAGTGGGGCATCTTGGGGCTAGGCCCCCTGACGTGCTGGCAAGGCCCCCTGACTTTCCATCTAGCCTAGGGTGTCATGGCCTTCTCCCCCAGATTAAATTGATTAGCCAGTGCCCCCTGAGAAATTTAAATGCCCCCTGACTTTAAAAATCCTGGCTACGGGTCTGGATGGGGTGGCCACCATCGATGCTGTTGGGGGTGGGGCTTCCCCAACAGGCCAGCTGAAAAAGCACTGAAATCTTGCCTATTCAGGCCTCAACAGAATGACAGTAACTGCTTAAAATGAGAATAAAAACTGAAGAGTAAAATTAAATTTTGTAAAATAAAGAGCTATAAAATATCTTCCAAGTCAATTAAGGCATAATTGTAACCTGTTTTTACAACCTGCCCCTTTCTTTATTAGAAAACAGAAAAGGAAAGGAGGAAAGCAGGGGTTAAGAGAGTGTGATGAAAGGGAGTAAAGGAGAAAACAGTGAGCCAAGTGAAACAAATATAACATCCGCAACACAGCAGACAACACATATTGTTTTAACTTATAATTACACTGTTGTTGCTTTTTAAATTGCAGTTATCTCTAGCAGCTATGCTTCATAGCTCATCAGGAACCTAGGCTCCCATGCCCTTCACATGATTTGCTTGGTAATGACACTGGCAATCCATTCCTTTAGCTGTTTTATTACATGATGGGATGGATTCTGCAGCTTTTTTGCTCAGTCTTAGCCAATTTCCTCATTATAGCTCCTGTCCCACATGGATTTTATTTCTGGAGATCCTATGATCCACAAACTTAGCCTTTTTGGTGGTCAAAAGGGACTCCCTCCTCCCTTATCTACCAGTGGGAAAAGGCTGGAACCAGGGACAGGGCTCAGCTAGAATGTTCTGCCTTACTCTCAAGCTTTCTACATGAAGCAAGTTGCTTTACATTCAGTCATGTAATCTTCAGCTTGCAGCCTGAAGTGGTATGTATCTACCTTTCATTTCAAACATAGAACACAGCTTTGTCTAAGAACTTGCCAGTGAGTACAAAGAAGTGGTACATGCCTTGCATGCAGAAGAACCCAGGTTTAGTCCCTGACATCTTCGGTGAAAAGAATTTCAAGCAGCAAGGCTGAAAAAGACCTTGCTCTGCTTCGGCATTTGGAGACCCGCTGCAGTCAACATAGAGTGCTGAGCTAAATGAACCAGTGATCTGACTCAAATCAATAAGCCAGATTCTTATGTCCATGTTTACCAAAAAACATATTTCTTATCTCCAAGTTAGCCAGCTCAAATCTGTTTTTGTACAGTTCTGGCAGACACATATGCCAGGTATGAACTACAGATGCAACCTATGAAAGTTTGTCTTCACAGCTTCACATTTGCCATTGTTTTCCACAACACTGAGAACGGTACCATTTCCCCCAATCACTGCAATATGTCGAACCAAGATACTGACTCCATTATGCTACACACTTCACAGGCACTTTATAAGACATAACTATTTTCAGCTTATAATATGATAGCAAAAAAACTTAAAATCTTTAAAACAACAGATGCATAGTAATTGAAAGAATTAAAAACAAATAATAAATTGTTTTAAACTGACCAAACTATTTTAAAAAATACACCAACATGTAACCCAGCAAGCCTAAAATGTTCTGAATAAACAAAATTAGGTAATAAAAATTAAAAAATTAAACACTAAAAAAAAACCAAACAGAAGGGATAAAAGAAAACTCACCAACAAAATAAAAAGAATGCCTAGGCAAATAAACATGTTTTCATCTGGTAATGGAAGTTGATGTGATGGGTTGCACATGAAAAGCAGGTTTTAAAATGCTGCTATTTCAGAGAGCCTGGGGGGTAAGGAGTTAATCTTCCCTGAAGTGGATAGTTTGACTGGCTGCTCTACACGCTCTCTGACTGGCCAGCATCAGCTGAGAGAAAGTATATGATCAGCTGTGTACTGGAGAGAAAAAGCCTTTCCTTTGGAATCAGCAAGCCAGTGAGCTGGTGTCTGACAGAGAAAGAGCTGGCCGGAGTCAGTAGTTCTGACAGGATTGGTCAGTCAGGTTCTTCTTCTAAGAGAAGAGAAAATATTCCTTTGCCCTAATTGAATAAGAACTATTCTGATAGAGAACTGTAATTCTAAGTCCAGAAAGCTAAAAACTGTTTTACACAAACATCACTACTGGGAGAGAGATTCAAGGGTGACTGGGTTGTTAGGCTGTAACTCCTAATCAAGCCAAACAGAAAAGGAGTATTGCTTCTTAGGGAAAAGAATAATAATTGAAAATGGGGTTGAGCTCTGAGGAGAACCAGGGTCTGTGGTGAAGGGAATAAGCCTTAGACACCTCAGGGGTTGAAAAGATCTAGAAATCTCTGAAAATAAGCTACAACACACTCCTGTTTGTCTTAAGAATTGATTCCTGTATAAAATATAACTTTTACCCAGGGCTTTTTTGTAGAAAAAGCCCAGCAGGGACTCATTAGCATATTAGGCCACACCCAACAGCCGAACCTCATTAGCATATTAGGCCACACCCTCGACAGCGCCGCTCATTGGCCTATTAGGCCAAACCCCCATGCCTTCCCTTGGCTTGCCCAGGTGCCCCATGGCTGCGGGGAGCCCAGGCAAGCCAGCCCTTGGACAGGCTGGGGATGGCATGGGGAAGCATTTAAATGCCTCCCCGATCCTTCCATGGGGCCCCCTGGCCCGCCTGCCTCAGAGTCGCCAGGGGGGTTGCTCTCCAGGCATTCCCTCTGTAACCACGCACACAGAGGTTTTGGCTGTAGTGGGCGTGGCCAACTCTGAAGCCAGACGGAACTCTGTTCCTGTGCGTTCCTGCCCAAAAATACCCCAGTATTTCTAAACCTTTAATTCTCCTATATATATTCCCTGCATGTTAAATAAAAATATTTTATTCTGTTTTAAAAGTTATACAGTCTTAAGTGCAATTTCAATGGGCTTAAGACAAGAGGGCTCCTGTTTTCCCCTCAAATTCCTGTTCTGTGTCCAAAGTCAAAAATATATCTCTGTCAAAGGGTGGGACAATCAAGTCTTTTAAGACAAAGTAGAAATACACGCTACTGAGGGGCGGCTCAGGCACAGAAGGGAACTAAGTTTTGGCGGGGAAAATCTCCCTGGGAGTTGGGCATAGCTTACCACCCCACAGGCCAGGAAAATAGCTAAGGGGAGGGTGTTCCACAACTGGGAGAAGGCTCTGTTTTTCTATTAACAGCCTGCCTCCGAAAAAGATCTCAACTCGTGGACAACCATGTATGGAAACAGACTGGGATTCTGGTCCCAAACTATATACAGTAAAAACCTTGTTATTTGAGACTCGTGGAATATGGGGACTGTAGGTTTACCAATTGTGCCAGATACTCCCCATCCTCACCTGGAGAAAATGGTGGCGATCAAACACCACAACCCTTGGAAATGTCATGGAAACAGCCCTCTACAGAACTCTTCCTCCAGAACCATGGTGGCTCCCAAAAAGCAAGGAAGGCCGAGGAGTAAAGAGGCACCCGAGGATGGCATCAGAGGTCAGCAGTATCTGTAAGCAGCCTAACAGTGGTGGGAGGAATCAAGCTAAAGAGGCAGGAATAGGATTACCCCCCTCCCCAAAGACATGGGAGGGATATGGTGGCAGAGGTGGGTGAGTGGGTGATGAGGCTGCTAAAAGCAGGCTGAAGAGAAAGGAGATGCCTGAGGATGACAGCATGGGCTGTCAAGCAAAATACCAGCTGGAAGCATCAAGTTGCCTGGCTGGAGAGGTGGGAGTGGGGTGTGCACACAATAGGAGCAAAGTAGGAGCATGCCCAAAGCACAGGATTATGATTCCTGCAAAGGGGGAGGGGGTTGAGGAGCTTGCCTTTTGAGCGTTGCTGTTTAACCACGTGTTATAGATATTCAAGTGCTGGATAACAAAGCTTTTACTGTCACCAGCTCTTTGAATTAGACCCAGAAACAAATAAGCAGCCAGTGCAATTGTCTTGAAACTGGGTATAATATGTTCTCTTTTATTAATGTGGGTCAGCAAATCAAGCTGCCATATTTTGTGTCATTTGATACTTCCAAACAATCTTCAGTGCCAGACCTATGTAAAGCACATTACAGTAAACTAGCCCAGATGTGACCACAGCATGGATAACTGTGGCCAAATTCTGTCTTCTTGACCACATTACTTGAAAACGTACAGATACTGCTACATTATACCAGTATGCTAATCTGTATGAAATATTTTGTATTGCACTGCAAGCCTTAATTGAACTTTAATAATACAGTCAATCGCTAGCATCACAAGACTTCAGTAACATCTGACACTGACTATAAGTTATATTGGATATAATAGAATAATTATTATTTTGGCTCAGAAATGAAGACGGAAAAAACTAAACTTACCATCTCTTTCCCGTTCACTTTCAGGCCTTGCTCTCGGTCCAGTATCTGACCAATCTCCTCTTAGTCGCAAACGTTTGACAGGAGGTTGCTGTAACTAGAGGAACACAACAAGCATGGGCATTTATGATGCACAAGTCCCACAGCTAATAAAATTGGGCTAATATATTAAATTAAAGCCAAAATTCTCACACTTTTATTATGAGAATGTTTTTGGTTTGTACTGTTGTTAGCAAGTCAGATGAATGGACAATCCTTGTTTGACAATTAATTTGGTTTGAAAAAGGAACCATTGCGCATCAGTGCAGGCATAACAGGGCTGATCTATTATCTACAGGCTGCAATATAAATAGCTGCTTTAGGAATACCCAAAGGCTTAGGTATGCCCAGTAAGAATTGTTTAACTTCTTCCTTTCAATGTAGGTGTAATGATTTCAAGTTATATGTGTGTGTTTCTTTAAACTGTTTGTAAATGCCAGAAGAACAAGGGGGGTGAAAGAGGGAGATGAGTAAGGTGATTGGTTGGGGACTGAGAGTATATGGGTGGAGCTAGGTGTGTATGTGTGGAGAGAGAGAAGGCAGAGTGTTCAGTTTGAAGTCTGAAGTCATAAGTCAGCAGCTGTCAGTTGAGGTCAATCTACACAGAGTCTGAGAAGTAGACTTCTAACTAGACACATATAGAAGTGCTGTGAAAGGCATTAAGATTCTAAAGGAAGAACATATACTTAAGGGGGTATATTAGGCAAAATCTAATATACTCAGAGTATTTTAAGAGTGTGAGGGAAAAGGCTGACAGAGACCTGAGTAAAAAGGGAAAGACTTTACTGAGCAACTCAACAAAAAATCCTGTAACCAAAACGCTTCTTTCACCAATAAAGTTTGATCTTGTTTATTGTTAACCCAGTGTCTTATCCTCAGAACAACGAAGGAGCCCAATGAAGGAGCCTTATAGCTTGGGCACAATACTGTGGGAAAGATTAATTAAAGACTGGAATAATATTCCTGGTGGCAGCGATAGATACTTTGACAAGAAATTTAAAAGTACATCACACCTAACCACACAAAATAAAAGGGAGGTACCACCACAGTAGGCCTCCGTAATACATCAAAAATTATTTTTCAAACTTTCCTTGATTTCAAATAAAATGTTTGCTCTGCAACAAAGAAGATACAAATATTTGAAACACAAATCAAGACTGTCCTCATATGAGCTATACAGTCTTTTGGATCAATTATGGTTAAGACTGGAACTAAACTACATGATTATGTTCACCTTCCTTACAAGTTTCCATTTTGCAGAACAATTTCCCCCTTCCTCACCTTAACATTACTTAAGGAAAACAACTGTACAAATGTTACCCATATTTAAAGCATGTTTCCCACAACCAGGATACTTTGCCAGCTTCAACCCCTGGTTAAGTGGAGAATCCGGTTTTTAAAAAGTAAGGGTATTTATTGCTGTTTAGTATTCCAAGTAAGAATATAACCTTGCAGGGGAGAGAGGGGATTTATTTATTACACTTCTAGACCACCCTCCCCAGTGCAAACAAGGCTCAGCCGGTATACAACAACAAAAACACACCCATAAATTAATAAACAATTTTAAATAATAGGAAAATACAACATTTAGACATTTCTAGATGTTTTTAAAAACTTCAAGGTGTGCCATTGCCTCATTGGGGGGGGGGGGGGATTAGAGGTGCCAGACAAGATGGAAACTGTCCTCAACCAAAAGCCTGGCAGAACATCTCTGCCTTACAGGCCCTGCAGAACTGCATTAGATCCCACAGGGAACCGATGTCATTAGGCAGAGAGTTCTCCCAGGCTGGAGATCACCAGTACATTCTTCTCTGCATAGTGCAATGCTCTTTGGGGGTGTAATAGATACACCCCCCCAGTCCATTTAGGGCAGGGGTGGCCAAACTTGCTTAACATAAGAGCCAGAAGGCATGAACTAATAAATAACCAGACACGTTTTTACTGAAAAACATGAAAAGTTGCTTTTTATTAACATTAAATGAGACTGCCAAAAATAAAAGCAAAAGGGGTAAAACCAGATATTGATGATGATATTTAACTTTAGATGGGGGGAGAGGGAGGGAGGGAGGGGTGGAATATGTGTGAAAGAGTCGCATGCGGCTCCCAAGCCACAGTTTGGCCACCCCTGGTTTAGGGTGTTAAAGGTTAATACCAGAACCTTGAACCTGATCCGGTTCTCCACCTGGAGCCAGTGCAGCTCACACAGCACTGGGTGAATATGTGCCATTCGTAGGGTTCCAGTAAAGACACGCCCTGCCGAATCCTGGACCAGTCACAGTTTCCAAGTCAGTCTCAAGGGGTAGCCCTACATGGAGCGAGTTACAGTAGTCTAGTCTGATGGTGACCGTTGCATGGATTACTGTGGCTGGTTGGGGGGGAGACAGGAAGGGGGCCAGTTGTCTGACCTGGCGTAGCTGGAAAAATGCCAGTCTGGCAACATGTGTGATCTGGGACTCCATTGATAGGGAGGCATCCAGAACCACACCCAGGCTCTTGACAGTTGGTGCTGGTATTAGGGGCACACCGTCAAGAGCCAGACGTTGGCACCCCAATGCTGAATCTCCCACATACAGCCACAGAACCTCCATCTTAGCAGGATTCAGTCTCAGCTGACTGTTTTAATTATCCCACCATGGCCTCCAGCCCTTCAGCCAAATTAGTTGGGGCAGTATCTGGCTGGCTGCCCATCAACAGATACAACTGGACGTCATCAGCTAACTGTACTGGAGGGATCATTTAGACTGAGAGCAAAGAGGATGTCAGGGAATGATTTCGTTGATGGCTTCAGAGAGATGGGAATTCCAGTCCTCTATCAGCATATCTGGGGCTGCAATGGCTCAGAGGTTAAGATGCTGAGTTGCAGACTGAAAGGTTGGTAGTTCGGGAGTTCGAGACCCTAGTGTCGCATGATGGAGTGAGCGCCCGTCTCTGGCCCCAACTCCTGCCAACCTAGCACTTTGAAAGCAAGAAACTGCAAGTAGATAGGTACTGCTCTGGTGGGAAGGTAACAGTGTTCCGTGTGCCTCGGCATTTAGTCATGCTGGCCACATGACCACGGAAATGTCTTCAGACACTGCTGGATCTTCAGCTTGGAAATGTAGATGAGCACCGCCCCCTAGAGTCAGATTTAACTAGCTTTTGAGCAAGGGAAACCTTTACCTTTACCAGCACATCTAATGGATCTCCGGGGGCGGGGGAGCATCAGATCCTGCAGAGCATTCTAGAAAGCAAATGGATCCATTAGTCTCCGCAGGCAAGCATAAATTCAGTCACTGCCTAGACAGGAGGGGACTAGGACACCCAACCGGACCTTCAGGGCAAAGTGATCTGACCTTGGCACTTCATCTATAGCAATCAGATTCATATCCATCCCCACAAAAAAGATCAAATCCAGTGTGTGGCCTGCTTGATGTGTGGAACCTGATACAATCTCAGAGAGTCCTAGTGCTGCCGTGGAAGACACTAGGTCTGACACTTGTAAGGAGGTAGCAGCATCAGCATGGATGTTGAAGTCTCCCAAAACTATCAGTCTTGGGAACTCCAAGGCCCAACCTGCTACTAGGGATGTGCATTTCGGGATCCCGAACCGAAAAAAAGCCGAAAATAACGATTTTCGGCTTTTTTCGGCTTTTGGGATCCCGAATTAGCAATTTATGAGCTTGTCCGAATCCCGAAAAAAATTCCCGAAAAATTCGGGTCCATTATAACCAATGGGGCCATTGAAGTCAATGGCAAAAATCCTCTTGGAACTTTGCGGGGGGCTGGAGGGGAGGGGGTTTGGGGTAGAGGCTCCAAACTTGGAGCGTGCTTACTGGAACCTCTCCCCAACATACCCACCAAGTTTCAAGACGATTGGACCAGGGGGTACAATTTTATGGGCCCCCAAACAGGTTGCCCCCAGATCAGCTTGCTGCAGTTTATTCGCGGTTTGCCGCCGAAATTCGGCGGCAATTCGGCAACATTGTATCCTATGGACCTTGGAGTGGGTAAGCTCCAAACTTGGAGGGTGGTTACTAGAACCTCTCCCCTACATACCCACCAAGTTTCATGAAGATTGGACCAGGGGGTCCAATTCTATGGGCCCCCAAACAGGTTGCCCCCATCCCATTGTTCTCTATGGTGGGAAAAAAATTACGTTTTTCCCCACCATAGAGATCAATGGAGGGATGGGGGCAAACTGTTTTGGACAGCATGTTTGCAAACTTTTGCCAGACCAGCCAGCCCCAGCCACACTGCAGCAGAGAAGAACCATACAAGTGCCCCCCCACAACCTGTGCCGCCAAACTGGGTGCCCAAAACCCCAAAACCAACACAACTTGGCTCAAACCAAAGAATCTCTCTACAGCAGCAGCACTGAGGTAGCATGTCTGTCCATTGCCAATGCCAGCCAGACAGGCCCAGCAGCAGGACCAGAGCAATCTGCCCCCCCCACAACCTGTGCCAAGGTGCAACCAATCAGTGCCCAGACCAACTTGGTGCAAACCAGAGAATTTCTGCAGACAGCAGCAGCAGCCCACAGACTGAGGGAGCAAGCAAGTGCATGCCAGCCAGGCCCCAGCATTGCAACAGAAGAACAAGAGCAATCTGCCACCTGTGCCAGGCCAGCCAGGTTGCCATGCCAGTCAGTGCCCCAAAACCAGAACTAGGTCAAACCAGAGAATCTCTCCAGACTGCACTGGAGCGGCAGCACACAGGCTGAGGGAGCATGTATGTGCATCGCCAATGCCAATGCCAGCCAGCCAGGCCCAGCAGCAGAACCAGTCCACCACAAGTGTGCCAATGTGCCAGTGCCCAAAAAACCCCAAAAGCAAAACAATCTCTCCCCTCTGCAGTGGCAGCGGCCTACATAGGGGAGCATGTTTGCTAATGGCAGCCATGCCCAGCTGCAGAACCAGAGCAATCTCAACTTCCCCCCAACAACCTCTGTGCCAGTCACCCAACTTACTGGACTCAGTCCAAACCTGAGGATTTCTGCAGTATAAATGAAGGGGGGGGCAGGCAGGGCCTGTGCAAGTGACGTGAGCAATCACTAGGGGTGTGCGTGCGAATCCCCACTCA